CTTACTATTCCTCCTCCTCTAGCTTAATTTTTTTAAATGCCAAGGAGCACAATCCTAACACATATGATCCTAAATCTTTGCATCATTTTGGTAAAGGCACATGCAAGTTGCATATTTGCATTTGTGAATGACTTTGATTGAAGGACAAGTCAAATTGGAAGCAGTTTATTCTTCTGTGGTGTGAAATTAAAACATTTCAGCTGACAAAGTGCACAATTAAAAAAAAAAAAAAACTCAGCATGGCACTGGACATCCAATTTACACATGTAACGTAATTCTTGTCCATGAAATGTAGATGACCAATTATTAGCTTGGTTGCCTATTTGGATGGGGAAATTGCCTTAGTTTCATATGCAATGAAACTGGCAAAAACAGAGTATGCGCATTGTAGCATGCCCTGCTTTTAGCATATGTTTGACCTTTTGAAATTTGGGCCTTTTTTTTTTTTCCTTACCAAGGCACACTTTAAATTATCCTTCTTCATATAATCCTCTATAAAAAGAAATGCTGAATTATTCTTTGAGAAAGCCCATTGTAACACAGTGTTCACGCAAATTAACTTTTGAAACCCCTCCAAATTTGATTACATAATTAGAATTAAACCTAATTTCTCTTTTGAGAAGTTATTTTAATGTGGCACTTCAGCAACAACAAAAAAATCTATAAAGGCAACTTTGCCAGATGGATATGTTTCCTGTTCTCGGTAAACAGTAGGACCAAACTCTTAAAATGTGCTTTTCTTCAGATGCTTTTGTTTTTCATTAACAGACAGCATTGCTTATCCATTGGAAAGCTATGAATACAAAGCTATGAATAAAAAGAACTATTTACTTTTTACATACTTATATACAAAATTAAAAAACACAAAACACAAAATGATCAATGTTCCCAGTCTAAGCCTGTAAAAAACTCATTTCAGTGGGATATGTGGTAGGCGCTATGTTTGTGGGTACTGAATGTATAGGGGAATAAAGTAGAAACACTTGCGCGCACATAAGGCAGTCTGAAGCGAAATATGTTGTGTGTGTGTACATGTGTACATATATATTTTATATTGATCTATACACCCACAGAAATCCTTGTCATTCAAGGCTTAAGCTAGTCTCAAGCAGTGCTTGAAAGACATTTTTATCAGAAAGATTATCGCAGATGAGTATAACTGCATATTTTCTTGTATTTCCCAAGGAAGAATCTTGTGCTGTGACTGTCCACCCGAGACGGGATCTCGAATGAGACTGACCATAGGTTTGCAATTGTTTGCAAGTCCAGTATAGTTTAGCAATTCCAATATTTCATTCAGGTGTACCTATACAAAGACAAACGCATGCACATGCACGCCTATTAATCTTAGGCAAATCACAAATACCCGTCAGCAGTAAAAATGCCAGGTATCTTATAGAATGGAATTATCATGCAATAAAGTTTAAGGTCTTGTCTTCGCTATAATTTTAAAAAGTGGCAGATGCCTTTGAATAAAGCAATCCTTAAACCCCATAACAATGTGAAAGATTTGATTTTAAGATTACCTGAATATTTGAAATCTCTGTGTCAAGCCCAAATGTAGCACTAAAGCGTCACATCATCTGGTACGACTTCTTTACTCATACTGCTCTGAGTTTAAGCAGATAAATCCTTGTGCTAAATGTATATCCTAAAAGGCTTAAAATAGCAAAAAATACACTTAAAAGAGGTCATTGAGATGGTGACTACGGTGTGATCCCTTCCAAATAAGCAAGAAAGAAACCATTTTTTCTCCTTCTAAACAAAATGAAGTGCTGGTAGACTAGGAGGCAGTGGCAAGCATGATCCAGGTACTAGCAAAAATAATGGCCTGTTCTCTGAATTCCCACCCAGAGCCTTGTGATTCAGGAAAGCTTACTGTTGGTATATTGTGGATAAGAGCACAAGCATACATATTTCTTTCCTTATTTAAGCCTTTCTGGCATACTTCCCAGGTACTCTGTGGTAATACCTTTTCCATATAGTAGCTGTGTTTTACATTATCTTACGAAGCATATGTATTTTTAATTACCTCTCTGGGAGTCTAACATGTTGAGTGGCAAAGAAAAGTTAAATTCCTGAAAATAATACAAAGGCTGCCTAGGTTGAGGGGAGATTTGCTCTTGGCGAAAGCCTGTTCAAATTTTGAAATACTATGTTTTAACTAAAGCTAACAAAAGTTAACAAAGTATAACAACAATTTAAAAAAAGAAAACAAAAGAGCTTAAAATGCATATTTGAGGGAACATTTGAATAATTTTTAACTAGATTTTAGTACAGAATACTTTCAGTTTCATAATCTATTACCATTCCCTTCTGACAATTCCCCTTGTATAATCTTCCCTGGCTCATTGAAAAACTGTTAATACTTATAAAACTTCTTAGCTATCCTGCCTTTTTGTTTATATATGTCCAAACAAAGCAATGCACAACTCATTTTCTCTTTGCAGGTCTATAAAAAAATGCAAAGAAAGACATTAGAGACGGAATTTATTATTACTGAAATTAGTAGCATTGAAAACAAACAAGAAACCCCTGTAGGTGGCAAACACATTCATTTAGGAGTTCAGAAGTCTGGGTTTGGTTCTTACTGCTCTGACACAAATTTCTCTGTATTTGTGAGAGTGACTCTTTTCCCCACAGCAGCGATGCTGGCAGGGGATGTGTGGCTCAGGACTGCAGTGTCTGCTCTGTGCGCTTTCAAGGATTTCACAAGCTTCTCCCACGTTGATGAGCTTGGGGTCAGGGCCAGTTCTAGATTTTTTCCTAAAGAATAATAAGCACCCTCAATTTCACAGCTTAAATTCCACCCACATACCCATCACAAACACGGATAGCTTGCAAGTCATCCCTCTCACCTCGTTATCCTGCTGCTGGGGTATCACCGAACAAACAACTTGCCCAGGCTAAGGAAGTGAATTTTTCATGTACTGCAATATCCAAAACAGCTTTGAGTCGAGCTTACGTGTGAAAGATTTGTAAAGGATTTGCTTATCTGCTATCACTGTAAAATTTAAAGTCTTTTATGGCTTTGAAGGACATGGCTTTACAGAGGTCTCAAGTCACGTTTTTTGTTGAATATGTAATAGTGAACTCTGTTCAATTTGCTCGCATGAATCAGTAAGAGGTAAGTATCACATGGTAGCTGACAAAGGATGTTTTCTATCTATTTGTAATTATTAAGATTGCTTGAATGTAAGCACATCAAAGGCACTAATTTATAGGCCAAAAATCACTTTTTTTGACTAATAATCTGTTACTGAATTCTGTCAAAATCCTATTGTTCCCCCTCACTCCAGCTCTTATCAGAAATTTACCGTGGAGAAAACGTGAGAATTGCAAGATTCAGATTCATACAGACATTAGAAACTTTTGAAATCCAGCAAGAAAAACTGACAAACTTTTCTGTGACCTTTAGATTTTTTCCTCTGTAATTAGACAGTCACGGTGAATCAGTAAAACTGTTAAGTCACAGTTTCAAAGTCACAGTTTCATATCAAACAAAACACTGAGTATTCTCATGGTAAGAAATACAGATATTGTCTTCCCATTACCTTTACGTTTTGGTTCAATGCTATTAAAAACATGTAATCCAATTGCCTTCATTATTTAAACATTTTCCCTAAGAAGACTTTCTCCCCGGGAAGGTGTTCACCTTCCAAGTTTCTTTAATACTTATTTTAGCATGAATTGCATTGATATATATGCCAAATTTATTAGCAAACTGAAATAGTAAATTTGGCATACATTTAATGGAAATATTAAAGGAACCCAGTCTTTAAATGAGTAACTGTGAGGATTTTTACCAGCAACATAACCTTACAGACTATGCTTATTTGGTCGAGAAACAGAAAAAATATATAAATACATAAATCCTGTGTCTAGTCGGTCCCAGGAGAGCTGAGTTTGGAGTAGTGTTCTCTTAAGTAAAATGCCACAGTCTACAGACCTTTATATATTAGGCAGAATTTTTTTGACAAGTAATAGATTATGAGCTCTTACAAGACATTTCACAAACTAGAAGGTAGACTGAAAACTGTTAAATACATTATTTCCTACAAATTATTTACCAGACTTTAATGAGACTATTTGGAATATTTATTATGGTTGTGTTTCATCTCATGTGCTTAATGTAATCACTTTAAAACTACACACTTAATAACACATAATATTTCTAAGCAATACATTTGTGTCCTGAAGCTTTTAGTTTTTAGTTTGATCTTAACTGAGAATGTTTTTGCTTTAAGTACCAAGAAGTATACAATAAGCAGAGCTGCACTAAAACCACACGATCCTGATTGGAAGGTATATACAGATCAGTTGGTTATATGACAAAGTGTGTCCTTTCCATCTTGAAGAGAGAGGGGCAGTCTGACTTCCACATATAGAGAAAAACACTAAGTGTTTGTGTTATTTTTCTTTAAAGTTAGTTCTTTAAACTAACTAATAAAGTTAGTTATTAGATAGCTGATAAGAGACAATATACATATTTTCACAAATAGAATGCTCAGGAATATCAAATAATTCAAAAGCATTAATAAGTGCTTCTGGAAAAAGAAGAAAGCTGTAATGTTTCTTGACTGTTGCCAAAGGCAGATGTTAAAAGTGCTGAAAATCTGCATTTGTTCGTAACCCACTTCCTCTAAGAAGAAACATACGGGTGTAAAAATAGTTTCTGTATCGTTGGAAGTGTAACAAGTAAATTGCAACCCAAAGATATCAAGGGAACGCATATTAAGGGCTCATCAAATCCAAGTTTAAAACAGAACTTGCCGTCAAGCAGTACAAGCTTCTGAGAGATGCTTGTATGAGCATCTCTCATACAAGATGACTTGCTATTGCAAATCTTTGTGCAAAGTTTTGGGCTTTAAACTCTGACGTACATTCAGATCATAGTCCTCAAAATTCCTCTCTTACATAAAATTTCTCTGAAATAGCACTAAAACACATTTGGCACGCTTTTAAGTAATATTGTGAAATATCGCAGTTCTTCTGCTTACCTTGTTTTTTTATCAAAGCAGTCATATGCGTAGGTAAAACTGAAGGGTTTTGCTTCCAGTAAATTTTCGGTTTTCTGTCAGCATAGTGTGCCACCAAATGGCTGACTGAACCTTTTTCCTTTTGGGAAAGAACAAATACAAAGGCTAACCACTGTTACAGGAAAAGTTATCTGCTGGGTTCCCTGCATAGGATATCATCCTGACCTTTTGTTTTCTACCAAAACAGGAATTGAAGTGTCTCATATGAATGACAGCCAAATGTAAAAATGAGAAACATTTGTTTGCCCATTTGAAATGAATCTTTGGATTCTCAGAGCAGAGAGGCATCTGCAATGCTGCAGAACCACTTTGCTTTATCACTTTAAACAACTGGAAATTCAGGTTGAGGTATTCAGTAGTGCCAAAGGTCATGACTTTTTTTTTTAAAGTGAGCTTATGAAAAAAGAGATTGAGGTGAAAATACAGTGACCATCATTGATTTCCTTGGTCTGTTTCTTAGGAAATGATAAAGAAAGTGATATCAGTATGGGATTCCCCATGCCACAGCAAAGGTTCATGTGGCACTGTTGCCTATTTCCAACAGCAGCTGATGACAAGGGCGTAAGAAGGAGGTAAGTAAACATTGATTCCGGGTTGTCTGTTCTACCAGCCTCCAGTGATTTCCAGCTCTGGCACCACCAGAGGTGGAATATTTCTATGCACCAGCCCTTGAAAGAATTTGCAGCTTTCTGAACTCAGACAAACTCAGAGTATCCACAGTTTCCTGTGACAGGGAGTTCTACAGTGCAGTTACTTCTTGTAAGAAGTGCCTGTTTTTCAGCTGGTTTTGAATGTTCACCTACTAGTTTCATTTGACACCCCATAGCTCTTACGTTGAAAGAAACAGTCATTCCTTATTCACCTTCTCCATGCCGTTTAGCCACACTTCCCCAAGTCATCTCTTTTTCAGTCTAAATAAATGAAGTGCATTTATTTGTTCCTTACACAAAAGCTGTTTCATATTTTGTCATCTTCTGTCCTTTACCATTCTTATGCCAGTTTTATCTTTTTTTTTTTTTTTTTTTGAGATGAGAGAACCAGAATTGCAATCCTGTCCACAATATTGGCACTATGGATTTAAACATATGCTTTCTTTTTTATTGTCTTCTCTTCTCTGAATCATGTTTAAATTCCACCTGCTTTTTTGGCCACCACTGAATACTGAGCTGATGTTTGCTTAGTAGTATTCATCTCAAAGCCAAGACCTTATTCCCTGAACAGCAACTGTTTAGACCCTATCACTGTGTATATAAAATTCACTTAACACTTTCCAACATCGCAACATTAGTGCAACATGCTACCACAATCAGATCAGCAAATCTTTACCTTTCAGATGAATTGCATACTCCCATTCTGAGTCTGTTACAAAATAAAGTCAGTTCAGTTAGACCAGCTCCTTGGTTTTGTTTTGCACCTGCAAAGAAACAGGCAGTCAAATTACTTCATTTGGTAACTCAGTCTAGGCTGTAACATCTGCTAGATAACTCACTCAATGCCTCTTCATGATCATCCCTTTGATTTCCTACAAACATATGGACTTTGGAGGACTTTAAGAATTAAACTGAGGCTCAAACTTCACTGAATTCACCTACTTTTTTTTTTGTTTTAAATCTGTTTTCGGTCATGTTTAGGAGCACCAAAAGGGAAAGCAGATAGTTCACATTCAAAGTTGCTCTCCAGAGAGCGCTGAAAATGACAGTCAACTGAGATGCACCCATTCTTGAAAAGCTCCATGTAAAGGAACAATGAAAAAATGACAGCTTCACAACATACCATCTCCTTTGAAGAAACAGAACATGGTTTTCCTGTTGTCTTCTCAAAGCATGAGCATCTAAATTTTAAGATAAACAAGGGGGGGGTGAGAGGGGGAGCAAGAAAAAATACCTAGTAAAGTATATGGGATACAACACACACACAAGGCAGCCTTGGCATTCTTTATACACATGAGGCTAAATGTCACTAGTTCAGCAAAATTCACTTTTGCTGACCCCTTAATTTTCCTTCAAGTTCTCTCACTACTGATCAGTCATCTGTCTCTTTCTTTTTGGTTCCTCTCCCTTCCCCCATTGCCCATTGTTTTACTGCTATAGAAGTAAATTTACTGAGCAAGCCAGATGTACATGCTGGATTGATACCAACATTTTGTAGTTAAGTCCTACCTCCACAAAACACCATGGAGCAAGCAGTGTGCAGCAAGAGAAGAAAGACTACAGCTGGGTACATATGGCATGGCTATAGCTAATGCATCTAAGACAACAAAGATTTCCTAGACAGTGATTTCTCAGTTAAAACTTTTGAGTCAAGCATTCACATAGTATAATAACAGCTTATATCTGTCAAAGGCATTTTCTCCATTTCTGAATTAGAGAAAGCACAGACTTTATGAAGGTGAAAAATGTAACCATAACTCAAGCCAAATCATAGGAAAAAGCATGCTACAGTTGGGGTCTACAAAAAAAACCCACAACCAACTCATTAGAGAATCTGAGGTAATGGCTGGACAGTAACAGACGTTGAACAGAAAAAGCCTTTGCAGGCTTTATGCATCACATATACTCTCTCAAAGAGAGTTTGGCTAACGTTTTCTATTGAGCACAGTATTTCCCAGTATACATATGATTTACACTCTTTGCAAGCATAAGGAGTCACAGATGGTGGAATTTACTCCTGTGCTGAGCTAATACAATGCTTAGGCCTTTTTGTGGATTGAAACTAAAACTCATTCAAGAGCTTAACAGTATACAAAGCTTCTGTTGGCCTGTTTCATGCAGGTTTTGGATGAAACTTCCACCTGGATTTGAACCAGAATCACGCTGTAATCCTAGGGAATGTAGAACAAAGGGAGTCAATGAATGAACTTGGTAAAAAAAAGACTTAAATATGCATGGTGAGAGCTTCTACTTGCAAAAAAGGTGATGACCTTGGATAGGACTGGTCAGAACAAGAAGCTGTCTGAGACTGGGTATAATTCGGTTCCTTCCTTGGAGTGATCAAGGTCTGGAATATAAATCCTTAGAGATCCACGGTCCTGCCAACAAGAACAGGCAAGGACCAGAATATTGTTGCTTTCTAAAGCTATGGATGCCTTCAGGTAAAATTTCTTCATGTGCACAAAGGACTGTTTATTCTACAACAGTTACAGAGGTTAACAGGCAGTTAATTATTCAATTCATTTTGCGTAGCTAGTGTCAAGTGCTTGTATAGACACCCCATTTTAACATGCACTTTTCAGGGACATAAAAACATATTGTTCATGTAAATTATTTAGTACTTCCATTTTTATGACCTACCTGAATGCATACAAAGTCAAATGAAACAAAACAACATGAGAAATAAAGTTAGGAATCTTTTTTACTTAAAAAAAAATAAAGACTAGGTAAACACTTGTTTACTTTTTTAAAACTATTATTGCTACAAGTATTCTCCAAGATCATTTTAATCGAAAGAATTTAGAGTAAAAGGCTTGCCTCTGGACAGCCTCACAACTTCTCTTGTCTGTCACAATTAACCAGGCAAAGTAAACACATTTTTAGAAACAGAGAAATGTGATGGTAAATCATAGATTGACTGAAGCCCAGACGCAGCATAGAAATCACTTTTAAAATTTCAAAACATCCCCCTCAAAGCAAAACATTGACTCGAAGTAGAGATAATGAATTAAAATGAGATAATGGACACAAATGTATTATTTACTCAAGCATACTTCAGATCCCTTCTCATACAATATCATTAAAAATTAAGCATTACTCATCACACATCTATCCTGCATAGTAAATACTGAGTAACATGTTGCTAGGTAAAACAAGTCATTGCAGTAGTAATGACTTTTTTTTTTTTTAACTTATGCCTTTATTTGGGCTCCAAAATTTATGCCTTTGTTTACTAGTACCACCCTCCTCCCCCCACCTCCCCAAAGGGATCTATGTTATTTGATGTATTTACCACCCAGTGTCTTTAAGTTTCTTGGTGCGGTACTATGCAAATACATTCAGGTAGTCTTAATATCTGCCTTGGAAAGCCTGCGGCTCTACAATTAAGTTTCAAAATATGGACTGCATATCAACTTAATGACAGAGATTGCTGACTGATAGAACAAAAGGCATGAGATGTGAACGGCTCCTGTATGTCTCATCGGCGCTAATCTTGAAGCTTAGTAATCACATTGTAAAGGGAAGTACTAGTCAATACCGTAGCACGGATTGGTTTCAGCACAGAGGAAAAAAAAAAAATTAATATGGCTGATATCTCCTCATCACTGCTAGATGTTGCCACATTCCATTCCAAACCTGCAGTGGCACAGCTAGTTGCTACCTGAAATTACTGGCATGGAGAATGATGTTGCCTCCTCCCTTTAAAAGAATGTCACTTCTATCCTGGCATAAAAGTTGGAGGGAAAAGCCTCCCTTTCAGGAGACATATTTTCAAAAGTTTCCTCAATGAGAAAGTCAGACAGTAGCTACATGTTTTTTCTTTCTTACTTTGTCAACAAAATACTAGTCTTACTGAAGTGGGAGGCTTTCAGGCCACAAGGGGAAGATTTGCTATAGATGATTTATTCTAAATAGGTTTTTCTCAGTTTTGGTGTTAGTGTTCTCAGTATCGTATTTCTGAATCAAGGTTTAAAAGTGTCTCTTCTCCTGACTTGGAATGAGGGAAGTGGCAGCAGTTCCCTTTGCAGACTGCTTTCCATATCAGGCTGGGGAGCCTGACCACTCCTGGTCTTTCCTTCAGCGTTTTTAGATGCAGCTAACAACATCTCAAACTTCACAGGAAGACTTTCTTTTGTTGGACTACTCTTGAGTTTGAATTTAAGTTACAGAAGTAAATAGCAGGTCGGTCAGGAGAAGGCTATTTATGCTTCCCCTGCACTCGAACAGGACCAAGGAATAATGGGGCCCTGGAACAGAAGATAATTCTTTCACAGGAATTGGAAGGAACAGCTTAGGGGAAAGTTCTTCAAGGCTTAGGGCTTTTCTAAACGTTCAGATAACGTTAGCAACAGACAAGCCACATCTCAGTACGAATCTGGGAAACCTAATATGGTCAGCATGACACTGTTGTATCTAGTATCGGGC